ACCTTCCTAATGCTGCAACACCCTTAATACCCCCAACCATGACATTATTTCATCACTACTTCGTAATTGTAATTTTGTGACCGTTATGAATCATAATGTAAATATCTGATATGCAGGATATGTGATCTACGGCCCCTGTGAAAGGGTCACTTGACTCCCAAAGGGATCACGACCCCATAGGTTGTGGGACCCACTGTCCTAAAGGGAATATCTTTGAAAATTACAATACATTGTTCAAAGTAAGAACCTGACATTGGCATAGTACAGTCAACTAGACCAGAGGCTTCCGACTCCATCATTGATGCATGTTCTAAAAATCCACCTCTTTATGGAGACCTAGTCATCTGTGGAGGTTAATGTAACTGCTAGAAGTATGGATATATAGTACCATTGTTCCCACCAAAGGATTCACTAGAAGGCACACATTTTTAAGTGCATGGGAAATTCCAAACTTCTTCTTTTTGCTTCTCTTGGCAAAGAAAGCAAGACTTGAGAAATCACGCCAGCCCCTCTCAGGACCACACGGCCTACGTCTGCTAAACACTGGGTGCAAGTTTATCGCCATTCACTTTCTCTATGCCGTGTGCTTTCTCTCCTCAGTCTCTGGGAAGGTGTATGCATACAACAGCCGAACCGGGGCAAGAAAGTGGAAGACACTTGTTGGGCACCAGGAAGAGGCCTTTGGGAACACCTATGCCCTCTCTGAGGCCCGTCCCTTGAAGGAGTCAGCATCCCTGAAAACCTCGGTGCAGCACCAGTTCCTCTGAGTGACGGCATTTTTGAGGCTGTGACTGGCATGGCTGCCCAAATTTAAGCTGTAAGACCTGAGGTCAGCTGCTCTGTCGATGTCTGTCACTTCCTAAGATCAGCTGGTTCAGACAGAGAGTGTCAGCAAGAGGTGTCAGCCTGGAGTCTTTAGCTATGCTTTTGCTGAAGACTATAAACTATCTGTATATATCCTGGGTCATACCTCACTCCATAGAGTATAGCACTTTTAGATCTCACGGTTTTTCTCGCTGCTGTAGACCAGCACATGCTTGGCACCGAGTAGGGCTCCACACCTTTATCTGATAAATAAAAGAATTTGAGTATCTGAATTGGATCTCTTGTCTGGTCTTTGGTTCTGGTCACTTATTTCACTGTGACTTACAGCACAGAAATGGAAATCATCTTCAGGAAAGGTAAATTTGTTTTGTTTTCCCTTTATTTCTTGTAGCCACAAAAAAAATGTAGGATTTTAAGGAAGCACAGTTGATCTTGCTTTTAATTTTCTTTTTATAGGTCTCTGGAGGGTGCACTATCTGGGGACTTTACTTATTAATGACTTGCTAAGGAAATGCCAGTGTCAAGCTTTTCAAAATCTGTACACTTAGATTTTAAAAACTCATATGGGCTTTCTGATGACCTCTGACCTGGATCCCAGAAGACATGAGAGCAGGAGGACACAGCACTGTTGAGAGGCTGTGTCAACACACACTCCCAAGTGAAGCTGGCTTGGGATGCTTTTACTCTTAATCTTAACCAAAGTAATATATACACTGTGAGCAATAAACTAATATTTGAATCCGAAGGTATCAGGGACTCAAATGACCAGAGATGGTTTAGTATTCATTTCTGTTGGTACAAGTTCAAGGTTTGTGAGACCTGATCTCTGAAGAGAAAACACCCACAATTAAGCAGGATTACTTCTTACTTAGATCTGCCATGAGGGATGACCCATAAGAGACACTATAGTATGAAGGTTGTCAGCAAATTTGAAGGGCAACGAGTCCTGCAGTCTCTCTGAAGTCCACTATTTCTTCTAGAAAATGGACATATAATCACAGACTTGTTTGTTTATTTAGGTGTGTGTTCATGTGTATGCAGACATAGATGTATGTCATGTGTGTGTGCATATGTGTGGAGACCAGAAGTTAATGTCAGGTCTCCAATACTCTTTGTTTGATTGAAAGCAAGACCCCAGCCCTCTAGCACCCCTATATTCAAAGAGTCTGGAATGTAATATTAAGTTGGGGGCATCACCCCATCCCCTGGCAGCCATCCCTGGGGCATCAATGGAGTGCCAATGGAGTGGAAAGCGCCATCTCAGGCCCTCTCCCCCTGGGAATTGCCTTGGGCCAGACTCTACCTCCAGGAAAGCCCGCCAAACACTGACCCCTTCCCAGGGAGGGTCAGGACCACTCCCACAGGCTATTTAGTCTTGCTGGAAAAGGGAACACACGGTTTTGGATTTTGTGTGTGCTCTCCCTCTCTGTCTTCCCTCCCTGCCATGCTCCCGGCCACCTGAGAGCGCTGCATTTATAAAACATGGGCATTTTTGATTTTGTCTAATCTGGTCTAATTGGAGTTATTTTGCATTAAATTTTTTTAAAGCCCATTATTTAGCTATAACTGACCTGAAATTCACTCCGTAGGCCAGGCTGGCCTTGAATTCAGAGATCAGCCTGCCTCTGCCTCCTGAGTGCTGGAACTAATGGCATACATAACTATGTCTGGTTGTTCATCTTGTTTTTGGGACTGGGTCTCTCACTGAACCAGGGATCATCCTGTGTCAATTTCTTCATCACTGGGATTGCAGTCATTCACTGCTGTCCCCAGGGTTTTACATGGCCGTGGGAGATTTTCAGAGGTGTGCAAACCAAGTGATCCACATCCCCAGCCCTCACAGCTTTATTTTAATCTCCTGGTTGAGTTCTGAGAAGAAACATGAAGCAGCTCAGAGTTTTCCCAGGGCAGCGCCTTCCACCTGTAAACAGGAGACCCAGGAATACGGAGGGGGTCAGAACAGAGTTCTGGGCTACATAAGTTGGAACCAGTTGGTAATTATCTTAACAATGTCTGTGAAAGAGCAGTCTGCTATTTTTCCAGATGGCAAGCTAATTCTCCTCCAGGGGAGAGACCAAAGATTGTCTGAGAAAGTGCTCTTTCCTCTCCAGGAAGGCTCTCTTAGGATCAATTATGATTTGACGAATAGAGGTGCCTGAGTTTCCATCTGCCACACACTTAGAAACTTTCTTTACAAAGTCTAGATTGAATCCATTTGTATTGGCTCTGCCTGTGCCAAAACCAAACAAAAATGAAATGTTAAGTTGGTGTTTGTTATCCACACAAACAGGCTTGTTTTCATTTGTTTGGTGGTTTGGGATCCAGCTGCAGACCTGCCGGCAGAAAAAGCCTGGAAAGGAAACAGTCTGGCAGAGGTGTCTGGGACAGGAGCGGAGCAGGTGGCCTCAGGGCCAGGCTCTGCGGTGGGATCTTTGTATCTTTGTCAACTTGCCTCCAAACTACACTCATTTCTGGTGTCACTGTGTGTCCAATTTAATAATAATGATTGTATCAGTTTCCGAGGTGCCATTGACACATCCACAAACTGGGCAACTTAAAACATCAGTAGCCCTGCACTGTTCTGGAAGCCTAGGTGTTATGTGTGGTTGTTAATAGAGCAGGTGTTCCCTGGAGTTTCTGGGGAGGAAGCCTCCTGGCTCTTCCAGTCTCTGATGGCTGCAGCCCTGGATCTGCGCTTCTCTCTAATGCCTGACAGATACATAGTACCTTTTCCTTTATGTGTTAGTCAGATTTCTTCCTGCTGCACGTGGATCTGTCATTGTTCTGGTGTAATTTTTTATCTTGCTTTTTCTACTTCATGTTGATATAGCACCTGTTTGGGGCTGTGGGTTTGGAACAACCAGGATGAAAGAATGTTTGTAGAGAGATTGTGTTCACAGAAGCCAGGTTTTAGAACACAAGCACACCATTTTTGAAGGTCCCCATTCAATCCACTATGGGGATTTTAATATACTTTAATATGTATGATTGGTAGACCTATTGTCTCATGCCTCACTAGAAGGTGAAACACAATGACCCATTTTTTGGGTCCTTGGGAAGGATGTCTCATTCCCTTACAACTCGTATGAGGATGGTGGCTTCTGCTTTCCTAACAGGCTGCATTCCGCATTCTGATGAGAGGACCAGGAACTGGATTTCTGTGTTTAGGACTAATTTGAATTAGAAGAACACACTTACTTAAAAGCCTAAGAAACAGTAAGTTTCTCAGGAACTCACAAAAACAATAAGCATTTACAGTTTGTTGGGATGTTTGAAATCAAATGAGTTTACGTGAGTGTACACTGACCTGGTTGGTGTGGGACCATGGTCTATATTCTGTCAATTATATTTTAAATAAAGTCTGATTGGGCAGTAACCAGGCAGTAAGTATAGGTGGGACAACCAGACAGGGAGTAGAGGTGGGTGAATGAGAACAGGAGAATTCTGGGAAGGAAGCCCATTCCTCTGCAGTCCTGACCAACCACAGAAGAAGCAAGATGTGACTGCCTCGCTGAAAAAGGTACTGAGCCATGTGGCTAACATAGACAAGAATAATGGGCTAATATATGTTATAAGAGTTAATACGAAGCCTGAGCTAATGGATCATTCAGTTTACAAGTAATGTAGACCTCTGTGTGATTTCTTTGGGACTTAACAATTGCAGGAACTGGGCAGAACAGAAACACAGACAACACCTGGTCACTTCAAGGGTTCCTTTGATATCTTATTCATTTTTAGGTCTTATTACATTTCTTTCTTTGGGTCTCTCTCTGTCTCTTTCTCTCTCTGTGTGTGTCTCTCTCTCTCTTCCACCTCTAACTTTATTCTGACATCTGAAAGGGATGTCTTGGAAAGGAAGAGATGCTGGCTGTGTTCTTGACTGCTGCCCCATTATATTCCCTTATACCTGGGGATAGAATGCTAGTTACAATGAACTTCGCAGATTCCTTGGAAAAATTGAAGATGGCCCTGGGAGAAAATCTCTTCTGATCACATAATAGATGTACCAGAGCTTAGAGCCTTGAAATAGCAACTGCAGAAGTTGGCTCCTGGGCTGTTAATGCTGCTTACATCGCTTCAATCAGTCTTCAGGATTTACAAGGTAATAGAAAATGTTTCCCATAAAATCAAACTTTTTTTTTATCTGCCAAAGTAAGTTTTTAATAAAAACGCACCGAGCTGATCTTTGAAAGCATGTTTTTCTCAAGAGCAGCAGATTGACCTGCAGGAAGCCGGTAAGCTGCAGCCATGTAGCGATACACAGATTAATTGAAATGGGTTAAATTAAGATGTAAGAGTTAGCCAATAAGAAGCTAGAGCTAATGGGCCAAGCAGTGTTTTAAATAATATAGTTTCTGTGTGATTATTTTGGGGCTGGGAACCAACAAGCAGCTTCCTCCTCCAACAAGAGATATCACTTTAAATGTTTCCAATCCCCAGGAGAAGTGGATGGAGGAGGAAGGCCTAAGACCTTGCCTTCCTAAACTGTCTGCTTCTGCTCCACCTTAGCAGATGACACTGCAGGGCTCTTACTTGTTCAACCTGGGTTTCTCCCGTGCGTCTTCATTTATCGCCTACAAAGTATGCCACTTGGAATCATCTGAATTTCTTCCTTCTTTCCCCTGAGGCAGCCAGGCCACCGCCATTTTTCTTCTGAACTCTATAATAACTTCCCCATAGATCTTCCCCTCATTCACCCTCCATCAATGCCATGCTGAAGCCATCTTACTAAACTGCAAGTCACGCTTCTCCTGCCAATCCCCAAATAAGCCCCAACTACTGTAGAGCACTTAGTGTGAGTCAGGTGTTTCTTTATGGATCTTATGTATATTATTTTTATATATTAATTGTATATTAATTATTTAACTGGGATTAGTTTATGCCAGACTCTGAGCAGAAGTCTTGGCAGGCACTCTTTTTAAAAATGTTATTTGAAAGCTTATGTCCAGTTAAGTTTTGATGTGACATCTGGAAGGCATAAGCATCAGGCCCAACCCGGTTTTGTCTGACTGTTTTTTGTGTCCTGGATATTCAAATGAATTTCTTACAATTAATGACTCCTCAATAGCTCCTAACACCACATTGCTTTCCAAAGTCCTGCAAGTTGCGTCTTTACTTCTTGTTACATGCCAGGTTTCTGAAAATTTCTCGTTTTCTCTCAGCAGAATAGCTGAGAAGAAAAAGGGAAAACCTGTCAACCTGTCTATCTCTCTCCATCCTTCCCTTCCCCCTGCTCACAAAAACAGGCATACACACGTGCATGCATGCACGCACATGCACACACACACGTCCCGATCACTCAGCTGCATTTCAGCTGTTCTTTATTATCTCTGTCTTCAACGCATTAAACATTTATTGTGCTTCCTTAGTGATGTTACCTGTGATTGCGTGATTACTTCCCTCTGTCTAGCCTGTCCAGAAGCATTTATCTTTATTCTTACCAAGATCAATAACTCAACACTTAGAGATTTGAAATTAAGCACCAGTCTATAAGTTCACACTTTAAAAAAATACTCACCTTCAAGAAAGGTGGAGTTTAATTTCATTTGGTGGGGATGATAAGTTGGAGGAGGACTGGAAATACTTGGGAAATTTCTTTTTGGCTAATTTCCTGGGGAGAAGATGGCTGTTCTCTAGGGCTGTGTTGCAGGCAAGACGGGATGTTTCTGAAATGAAGACAAGTAGAGCCATTCATCCTGAGCGACTCACAAGCAATCACGCCACTTCCAGCATTCAATTATATCCGCCACGGCTTTGATCTAGCAAAGGAATTTATTTCCCTGATTTGTTCAGCACTGAGCGTCATTCCAGAATGGCAGGCTGGGAGACTGGTTGGCAACATCGTGTCAAATGGAGCACAACCTAACTGGCACCCTGGCAGAGGCCTGGGAAGACATGGGGTCATCCTATGCCTTTGTGACTAGTCAGAGGCACTTGGTTTATGCACAGATACCCTGGTTCAACTCTAGGGCTGCCACACGGCATTGTGACCTTAGGCTCTGTAATTCAACCTCCCCATCTTACATTTCTAGCCGCTATTCAGCATCTGTCATGAGACTCAAGCAATAGGACAGGAGGAGTGTGTAACAGGAGCCCTGGTAACCCTGTGGCCTTGCCCACCGTTGGCCTGTCATTGGGGTCTCTTCTGCAAAGTGGTCTAAAAAACTGTCAAATACGTGTGAACTCTCTTCCTGAAAGCTGAGTTCTTCCGCCGGCTGGCACCAGGCTTCAATCTATTCCTTTTCCCAGCATGGGGGGAAATTGTATCTTTTGGTGTCGACTTTGTTTATAGTTTGATAGACACAGGGTCCAAATGTCTCTTTATATTATCTCCTGTCCTGTCTGAACCATCACACTGTGTGAGAGCATTAAATGTATAGAAAGCATTTGGAGCGCATGGTGTCTACAGTAAACGCTCGCTGCATGCTTTCGCTATCATTTGTGTTAACTGTGTCAGCCTGTTAAATATTCATCTGACTTTCTACAGGGATTCCTGAGCTTGCCCTGATACATGGCGAGCTCTCAGATATAACCGAGTGAGTAATGAATGAGGTGGACAGTGGAAAAGACTCAACGGCACTTGAAACCAGGCAAGAGTAACAAGCCAGCATTTTTCATGAGTTGAAGTAGCATGGAGTCCCTCGCCAGCTTTCATTCCTCAGAGAAATCCCAGACCGTCACTACTGCTGCCCCGTTTTATACACGAGGGAGTCAAAGTCCAGGGGTGTGAAGCCGTCAGCCAAGGCCACTGGATGATTGGGTAGGCACCTTCTGTACGGAGTTTGTCTGGTTTCAGGGCTAGACTATTTACAAACAGTCCGTACCTCTTTTCAGGTTCCCTCCCCTTCTTCCTTTTCAGGCAAAGCCACACTAAGATGCCCAGTGGATGCCCTGACAAGTCTGTGTTTGGCTTGGAAAATGGTAGCAAGAACACCTTGCCTGCTTGTTTTTCTGATCTTTCTCAACTTCTGACAATCACTTCTCTCGTCTTTTATTTTTTTCATTAGTTATTGCTTAATCTATTCTAACCCCTGTGAAATAGGGATTAAAAGTACTAATCTCTGTGTTTCGAGGTTTAAGAGAAGGCCAGGCAGTAGTAAACCAAGCTCTCTAGAATATTCAGCCTCCCTGTGAGTGTACTTTTCCGCGGTGTGTGCTCAGAAATTATGAACCAAAAAACAAAGTCCGTAGGTCACACGAGGGCCTGGTGATAAAGGACATGGGCTTTTGACCATTGCCAAGCTTCAGCTGAAGGACTGGGGCTGATGGCCGTTTGCAAACCCCACAAGCTCACATGTGCTGTGGCTGGCTCCCTCTTACCTGCCTCTCTCCTGCCTGAGACATGCTAAGTCCTCATGTCACACTTGGAATAGCACGAGAGTTGCAGCAGAGACCAAAGACTGACCGACTGTCCCCAGTGAGTCAGCGGGGAAGAATGTAACACCCAAAGTTAACCTGTAAGCCCTACGTGCTCAAGGACCAGGTAACCTCCTGGAATGTTGGGACTTGTAGTTCCTTGGAAATTACAAAGCCTCTTGGAAAATAGGATTGCTGTTCAGATTTGTCCTTAAATAGCTCTGCGGTATGTTTCTTGGGTTCATTCATCTCAGATTTCCGGGGAGTCTTCCTGACCTAAGTCCACCTGGGTTAGTATTTAATATTTAACTAAAACTTGCTTCAATTTTGGCTCAAAATGTTGGGATTGTTTTTTTTTTCCTCCTCTCTCAGGATTAACAACATTAATAAGGCAATTGGAAAATTGGTGTCATTTGCTCTTCTTGAGGAGAGGCCTGAACCAGGATGGCCTCTGGAAAGTGGAGGCCTGCTGATTCCCCAGTAGCAGTGATTGGCAGGCTGCAAAGGGGCAGAACAAGAATATCCTGTAACTGCGCCTGTTTCCCCATCCGCTTGATCAGCTTCACTTAAGACATTCCCAGGTGGGCCTCAGCCATTGCCTCATCAAGTACCCGGCCTCCTCAAGTCAAATGCTCTGCCTTACCATCCCCTTCTCCCATGGGCCCATGAACAATAGAGCCAGCTGGGCATGAACTGTAACCTCTGAGTCTGTGAAGCAACAGGAGCAAACAATTTCTAGTCCTGTTATGTCATCTGTTAGAAAGCCAGCCAGGCCTTTGAGAAGCGGTGGGAGGAGCCCACACGGAAAACCTCAAAGGGATGCATCCCTTTCAGTGAGGCAGGCAGACCTACAAAACAAGTCTGCTTTTCTCTAGGGATGAATCAAGGAATGTGATTGCTTTATTATTCTGGGCTTTGTAGACCTCCCCCCCTTAATGCAGATCCCTGAGCTACCTCAAGGGATTCCCACCCCAAACAGCTTCTTCCTCTTGAGTTGGTGAAGGAGATCAAAAACGGGCAAGGAGGGGAGAAAAGCCAAACCTCTCCTTGACGCTGCAGCTCTAACTGAAGCTGATACCCTTGAAATTGAAGATGTCAGGGATAGCAGATGCTTTGGAAAGTCATTCTTTTTCATGTCCCAAGGCTTGCCGATTTTAAATAATAGGAATACTCTTCAGAGCTTGGATCTTGGCCATGTGAAACAGAATAATGTCATTCAGAATAATGGTCATTCAGAATAATGGTCATTCAGTGATATCCAAGTCCTTATTCCTGTGGATACACTCTTATGTGGCGAGAGTAGCTATGCAGATATGATGACGTTAAGGGTCTTGAGGTATTTCTTGACTGTTTAAGGGACCGGGCACAATCACCATGGAGCTTAAGTGGTATGAGAGAGACAGGAGGGCCAGGGCCAGAGATGGGTATGTGATTGTGCTACTTAGATTTTCATTTCTGTGACTGACTGTTTGAGAACCCTCTCCCTCCAAATGCAGATATTTCTTTTGGCTCATGGTGTCAGAGAGTTCAGTATGTGTTTGTCTGGGTCACTGCTGTGTGCTGTGAAAATACAGACCACACCACACCACCACCACCACACACACACACACACACACACACACACACACACACACACAGAGGATATATCCCTAGTGAACTACTTTCTCCTATCAGGACTCAGTCTGGCAGTCTATTTTCTCATAAGCCCATCAACGATTAGTCCAATGGTAGCATTTCAGGGTGAAGCCTTCAATACATAAGCCTTGGGGTGTGTGTGTGGGGTTAGTGCCTCATATCCAGCCTGAAAAAGAAAATTGGCTAGAGGGAAGCCCTTGTGGGGAGTAGGCCATGAGCTGAGCTATGTAATCGCTAGAAGCTAGAAGAAGAGAAAGACTGATTCCTCCTTAAAGGTCCCAGAAGTCATGTAGCTGTGTTGACAGCTTGACTTTAACCCTCGACTTCAGCAAATTTGAACGTCAAACCATCAAGCCTGTGACAATTACTTTTTTTTGAGGAGGGATAGCAAACATACACACTGGCCTCTGACCGTCTCTTCCTGACTGTGTCCCCCTCTTAGGCCCTCACGGCTCAGATTCCCCCTTGTACACTGATGACAAGGAGATTTCATCTTCAGGCTTGTCCTCCCACGGGAAAAGCCCCGGGGACTGAGTTGGCCCCTCCTCGCCCTTTCCTAACTTCTAGTTCTTTCTACTTCTGTTAGCCTTACATGAGGACCCTTTTATAGGTTTGGTCAGGGTCCTGGGTGTGTGGTTTTGGGTGTATGATTCCAGTTTCCTGGACCATGAAATGGTTTTCACTAAATCAGTTTCGTAAAACTTCTTTTAGACAGAGTGGGCACACATCTGTAAAATGTTTAGGATTTCATATGCATGGAACAGAAATGTAGCAAATATACTTGATTTTTATATTGCAACATAAACACAATACATGAATCAACATGATTCTATGAACTATCGTAGGTTCCAAGGAACCTCCTCTTTGCTTAACCACTGCCTTGTACAACGATGTGACACATTTACCTAAGGGGACATTGGTTACACCTGATGGGTGGGTCACTAGTGACCACTATGCTTGGAGCAATGGGATTCTTGTATTTTTCATTTAAGAAAGAAAAGGAGATCAGGCCATAGGGTAAACATGCTCAAATAATTATGTATTTGTACAAAAATGCTTATAAGTAACCCAGTGTAATAAGAAAATAAAGTCCTTTATCAAATATTTTTTTCCCTCTTCTGCGTCATTTACAGTAACTGGATGTGGGGTGGTCAGCACAATGTGGTCAGTGTGGAGGATTTCCTCAAGTGAGAGTCGTAGAAACACAGTTTTTGTTGAGAGAAATGATGACATGATATAAGATCACGTTGGATCAAGGAGTGTTGCTTGACAAGATTCAGCATTGAGATGGAGAAATTGGGCATGGTGAAGGAACAGATCAGTATTGTGGAGGCAAAATGGATTGTTGTGATATCACAATGCAGCACAGTGAAGGCCCAGTGAGGCATGAGAAAGTCACTGTCCTGCTCGGTGGATCATTCTGATATCACAACCTAGTGTGACTAGATCACTCCTTAGCACAGACACAATCCTCTGACCTCATAAGCTAATACTAAGTTCTCTCTAAAATTTTAGTACTCTTGAAAATTTCTCTTCACACTCATTTTGATTTGAAATCTATTTTTTTCAGATGCTAAATTCCATGTACCTGATTGGTTTCTAGCTTAATGGGTTTGGAAAACCCTTTTTCATCTCTTTTCTTTGCCATGAGATATTTCTTTGACAAAATGGACCATTTACAAATCCAATCTGGTACCTGTCCATTTTGATTGGGTAAATCATGAGAGTGTTACTGAAGCCTATACACTAATTCCTGTCATTTTGTTGCTTTTGTAATATCTGGTTCATTCATAACCTCCATTTGCTTATTAACCACCCAGGAAGATGGCCTATTCTTCCTCGTGTCTTTGTGAACATATTTCTCTTTCTCTTCTGTGTGCATGATTGATTCCATAAGCCATCTTCTGGAGTTCTGGCTCAGTAGCCACGAGTTCCTTTAGTTTATGTCTACCACAGAAAATGTTTCTTTCTCCCCCAATTATGAGTGATAACTTTCTGGGTAGAGCGATACTGGATGGCTTTATTGTCTTTCACAGCTTGACATGCATCATCCCATGCCTTCTTGCCTTTTAGAATTTCTGTTGAGAGCTATGCTCTTTCTTATTTTGATGGATTCTTCCATTATATATGACATGAATTTTTGCTATCATTTTTTTTGCAAACTTTCTTTTGCAATCTTTAATGTACTTTTTATCCTGTATATCTGGCATTTTAGCTGTACTACAACCTGATAACTTTATCTTCTGGGATTTTTTTCTTTTATTTGATGTTCAAAATATCTCTTTTACATAGATGACCAATGGTTTTCCCAGTCGTGCGACATTTTCTCTTGTAGTTTCATTGAATGTGTTTTCTGTGGCTTACCTGAAAACTATTCTATTTTTTCCTATGTCCATAATTTGTAGATTTGTTTTAATGATGTCCCATAGATCTTGAATGTTATATTCAGACTTCCTTATTAGTTTATCTGACAAGCTCTGATATTCTGTCTTCCATTTGACTAATTCTATTGATGAGAATTCTTACTAAGTTTTTTAAAGTTTAACTTATTGAACTTTGGCTTATAACATCTGTTTGAATTTTTGACATCTCTATCTATTGAATTCCAATTTCATATTCTAAGTTGATTTTCTCACTTTATTCATGTCATGCTTAATTTCAATGATGTTCTTACAATCATTGCTTTTCATTATTTTTCATATTACCTTAATTGAAGTTAGTTACGGTAGAATTTTCTACTTATTTTGGGAGTCATGTTGTTTTAGTATTATATGTTTCATGTCTTTCTGCATTGGTACTTGTGCATATGGAATTAGGCCATTGATTGGATTTATGAAAAGTTTCCTTTGTTTTTCAGTTGAAGCATTTGTAATGTTTCAATGGGACTAGATTAGAATACTATTATGATATCACTTGTTGCATGGGCCAGAGAGTGCTGCTTCTAGCTTGCCCTTCACCCCTAAGGCAGGCAGGAGAGCTGACCCCTGGATCATGAGGGTCATAGAGCTGGCCCTGCCCCTAACAGGCTGCAGCACTCTGGAGAGCAGGTCCTGTACCTCCCCTGGGCAGCACAATGGAGCTGATCCTGCTGGAGGGGGTGTGTATGTTTGAGCCTGCCCTCAGGTTGTAAGAGTGGAAGAGCTGACCCCCTCATTGGTGTTGGCTTGCTGTATATTGCTTTTATTATGGTTAGATACATTCCTTATATTTTTGATCGCTCCAAGACCTTTATCATGAAGGAGTGTTGGATTTTGTTGAAGGCTTTTTTAGCATCTAATGAGATCATATGGTTTTTCCTTTCAGTTTATTTATATGATGAATTACATTGACAGATTTTCATATGCTGAATCATCCTTGCATCTATGGGATGAAGCCAATTTGATCATGGTGAATGATTTTTTTTTAAATGTGTTCATGGATTCAGTTTACTAGTATTTTGTTGAGCAGTTTTACATCAATGTTCATGAAGGTAATTTGTCTGTAATTCTTTTTCTTAGTTGAGTCTTTTTATGGTTTGGGTATCAGGGTAACCATTGCCTCATAAAACGAATTTGGCAATGTTCCTTCTGTTTCTATTGTATGGAACAGTTTGAGGAGTATAGGTATTAGCTCTGCTTTGTAGATCTGGTAGAATTTTGTGCTGAAACCATTCAGTCTTGGGCTTTTATGGTTGGAATACGTTTGATGACTATTTCTATTTCCTTAGGAGTTATAGGTCTAATTAAGTTGTTCATCTGGTCTTGCTTTAATTTAGGTGTGTGGTACCTATCCAGAAAATTGTTTATATCTTTTAGATTTTCCATTTTTGTGATATACAGGATTTTGAAATATGATCTAATAATTCTCTGGATTTTCTCTGTTTGTTGTTTTGCCCTCCTTTTAATTTCTGATTTTGTTATTTTTGATATTCTCTCTGCCTTTTGGTTAGGTTGGATACAGGTTTATC